ATTCAGGCAGTTTTATGGCTTAGCCAAAATAGCTCCTCTTTGCTCTACCTTCCGGCCCTTCTCCAACAGAATAGCTCTGGTTCTTCCCAGTTCTTAGAAGAGTTCTTCAAACAACATATATTTCTGGATTCCTTTGACTCAAAATACTTCAGTCATCTGAAACATCTTCAGATACTTCCCTAAGCTTTAAGGCATCTTTCTTAAAAATGATTTCTGAATTTTGCCGGTTGCCCCTTTTCGAAATCCTATTCATTTTCTGAATCCACATTACCATTTCTCTACCAGCTGCCATTCACAATTTGATACACCACATACTACAGAACCATATTTTATTTTATTCTATTTATTTTTAATTTTTATTCATTTGAGAGAGAGAAAGAGAGAGAAAGCGCATGAGTAGGAGCACGAGAGCAGAGGGAGAGGGAGAAGCAGACTCCCCATTGAGCAGAGAACCTGATGCAGGACCCTTGGATCATGAGCTGAGCCGAAGGCAGATGCCTAATCAACTGAGCTACCCAGGAGCCCCTATAGAACCATATTTTAGAGGAATACCCATCCAACACCATAAAGTGATCCTATTTTCACTCCCAGAACTTGTGAGTGTGTTACACTTCTAAGCAGATAGCCCAGATTCTCTATTGAAGAGTTCAGTCATTCTCTATTCCTGATATTAGGAAACTTTCAATATGTTCCTGCCAAACTATCTACTGTAAGCAAACTTCTGAGATTATTCTCTTGTCTTTCTGGGCCAGCCCAGGCAGCAAATGAGAATATATTAAGGTACTGGGCGTTTGAGGCCACCATAGTTCCTCTCGTCTCCTGCCTATCTTGCCTCACAGTGTCTTTCCTATTTCTACACTCCAGGAATACTATCTATCTAGCAGGCCTCAGTCATATACTATTGTAGTTGTGCTTCATTTCTGTCACCACTTCCATTTTTCCCACCTCTCATATTGGTGGGAAATGGTCTGCGTCTTCACCCTGTGCTGATTCTCTCATGAAGGTCACTTCTGGTTGCAGTCTCTGCACTGTGCCATGGTTAGTCCTATTACCAACCAAAGGGATTTGAAATCCTCCTTGCTCATTACCTCAACCTTCTCTCAAGGTAGGTATTCTTTTCCCTCGGTAAATCCTACTCCTAATTAAAGAAATCCATCTGGACCACTGGAAATACCAAACTACTCAAATACTGTTGATGGGCTCAGTACTTGCAAAGTTAATGAGTTTTCTATACCACCACAGGAGCCATTTATTAATGAAACATAGCTATCTTATCTGGTCCCAAATGGCCAAGGCTTTAAGAAGTATGGTCTTCCAGGGATGTCTGAGTTGCTCAGTCAGTTAAGCAACAGACTCTTGATTTCAGCTCAGAAAAATTCCCTTGCCCTCAAAGAGTCTGTACACTCTTTGAGGGCAAGGGAATTTTTCTGCTAGTGGTGATCTGGTCAGGGGTGAGGTATGTGGTGGGAAGATAGTGGGATTGTCATGGTGCCTTGGGTGATAAGCAAGGCTGAGAAATCAGAAGACACAGAAAACAGGAAAGTGTGCTTGCCAAAAATTACAAATTCCAACTCACTGAAGTATGGCTAATAAAGTTCTAAAAAAATGCAGAGTGGAGCAAATGAAAAACTATGTAAGGTGAGTAAATGTTTGTAAGTCAGGACTACAAAAAAAGGACGTGATTCAAAAGTTAAAGATGCTAGAGACCAGATTAGACCTTTGTCTAGCCATATGAAGAATGAATCACTGATAGCAATGACTAATCACTATATGCATGTAAAATATAGATGGAACAAAATCCAGCAGCAATTTTCTTCAGTACTGGGATACAGGGGTGCTAATCCCTACCATTTACAGAGCACCTAGTAGGTGACAGGAGCTGTCCTTTATATGGATTGTTATTTAGTCCGGATAACACTCCAACTAAGTAGGTTTTATTAACTCCATTATATGTCAGGAAATGGGCTCAGGAAAGTTCCACGGCAGGAATTAGTTTACACTCCTACTGGACAGTAAAGCCAAAATCTGATACCAGCTTTTCCCATCTTGAGACCATGCTCTTTCCCCCATGCCAACATAGCCTGATTTATATTTTAAGAGAAATGAAGTCCATTCAAAGATACCTTTATAGTCATGTCACCCTCATTGGTTGCAAATATGCTTTCATCATTGATATCGGGCTGGAGATACAGCCAGCACTCCAGGGACTGAGTATAAAACCTTACGAGTGTATTGGAGCCTATGAGACCGTCACTGTCATGTGGATGAGAACAGCTGATGAAAAAAAGTGAAATGTCCATTAGGTTAAGTTCTTAATCTGTCATTTAATGGAGATCAGTGGCAAGAAGAGGGGTTTAGGAAATCGATGGTCCTGATTCCAGATGTGAATTCTGCTATATACTAGTTCCATGGAAAACCTTGGACAGGTGATTCTATTTCTTCAATCTCAGCTTCTTCACAGAGTCATTACAGCAAGCTAACAATACATTTTTGTAGAAAAAAAGATGGGCAGCTTTGGATAACAAAAAATACATCAATAAGGCTAAAGAGGCTTGGCCTCATTCAGGCATTAAGCTAGCTATCTTGTCTTGGGCAAGTCACAAACTCTGACCCTCTTTCTTCTGTAAAAAGTTGATGGCACCATCTACTTTAAGGATTTGTTTTATGGGGGCGCCTGGGTGGCTCAGTGGGTTAAAGCCTCTGCCTTTGGCTCAGGTCATGATCTCAGGGTCCTGGGATGGAGCCTCGCATTGGCATTCTGCTCAGCAGGGAGCCTGTTTCCCTCTCACTCTGCCTAGTTGTGATCTCTCTGTCAAATAAATAAATAAAATCTTAAAAAAAAAAGAATTTGTTTTATGAATCTAAGTGTAATGTAGGTTAGGTACCTACAGTGCTCGACTATATAACAATGTACTCACCATATTAAATCATTAACACAATGCTTGGCAAAATTTGTATAACTTTCCATCCCATTTGTTTTACACTTGGGCTCTATTACAATGTTCCTGGTGACTATAACTTAAAAATACTACAGACTATTGGAAAATCGTAACAGCAATTTGGTAAAAATTAGACACCTTAGGCATTTTAAAAATTGCTAACCTTGTATTGTTTTTAAAAGTTAAAATTTACATAAATGGAAAATTATTCATTCTTTTATACTCCCTCATATTTTTTTTTCCACTAAAAGCATTTTCTTCTAAAAGCATTCCATTAAACAAAGTGCTTAGTCAATCTGAGAAATAAAAGATTAGTACCATTAACAAAGGCTTTGATAATTTTATTACTAAGAAAATTGTTAAACATGCTTGCTGTCTCTGATAGCACTGTTGAAGTGGTAGGAACCATCTGTGGTCAATCTATTATGTGAACCATGAAAAGTAGCTGTTCTTGCAAAGCTGGTCCCTAACTGCCCCTCAAAAGCAAACAAACAAGCTGATCTCAACACTGTATTTAAATTAATCACTCAAAAGTAAAGTAAGTCAGGGTTACACCCCCTGGTCTTTCCTAATTAAGCAATTCAGAAGAAATACAAATATCATAGATTAGAGCTGTATACACCTAATGGGTTATCTATATCCACATGCCCAACACACGGTTTATGAATCTGAGCAAATTTGGGGAAGTTAAATCTACATTTTGGGTTTACACAAATCGTTAGAAAATTTAAAAACGTACACACGTATAAAGTTCCTTGGTTCTAGCGATTTTGCAGTGTTGGCCCAAGCAAGGGGGTTACCATCACTTTGCCTCCTTTCCCATCTAGATGGCATCTTATTTACTTGTCCATGAAGAAGCCTCACAGATGCCTTAGGAAAGCCCTCCATACCTGTCCGTAAATGTGCCCGTGGGCGAACCTCCATTTCTTACATTATAAGAAGTATGTGAATAAAATAAGACTGCCATTTCTTTGATCTATTCCTCCCCCATAAAGCTACAATAAATAGGGCCACTCAACCCTCCCTTTGCCCAACGCCAGCACTCCCACAAATATGACTGGTTCTTATTTTTTACTTTAAGGAGGATGGGGACTTGCAAGTGTTTACCTAACGGGTTTGCTGAGTTTCAAATGTTTAAAAAGAATTTGAAACCAAGTGAAGTTTGATCTTCACACTCTGAAATACCCGTCCTGGGATGTGGGCTAGGTGTCTGTGGTTATTCAGAGCTAGGTACCGTGCGAGCTTTTGAAGGAACTGTAATCTGATGTAAACCGGCAAGAGTGGGGTGGGGGAGGGAAGAACTGTCTGGGGAGAAAAGAATAGAATTAGCGTCTACAGGAGCACATCCCAAGCAAGGTTCCGGAGTTGCTAACTCCATCCCTAGGCATCTCGCTGCTTGGAACCAGCTGGAAAGGGAAAGACCGGCGACCCTGGGTTTGGGTTGAAGGCGGCAGTCCTGGTCTCAACCGCCGGCCTAGACACCTGGCTTCTGGGGCTCTCCCGACCCGGCTAAACACTCTCTCCCCTCGGGTCCTGCAAAGGGGGCAGACACGGCGCTCCGGTTCCCGTCGGAGACCATCAAATTCCTCTCCCCCCGAAACTGCTAACTTCAGGGAGTCGGGGGTACAAAGGGAGAGCAGACCAGGAGGGACAGGCCATGGGGTCTCACCGGGTTATCAGGTAGGGAAGAAGGACGAGAGCCCCGGCGGTGGCCGCCTTTTCTCCTCGTCCTCCACCCCCCAATCCCTCCCACCCCCCACCAAGTCCGCAGAACCTGCGGCTGCCGCGCGGTGCTGCGCGCCAGGCTGGGGTCCCCGGCCCCGACGCTGGGGCTGGCTTGGGATGGGTGGGGTAGAGGCTGGCGGGTCCCAAAGCCCCAATAGCGGGGGGCTGCAAGGACCAAACACCGGGCAGGCGACCACCTTCCGCCCGCGCGAGAGCGGGAGCAGGCAGGGCGCGAGCGAGGCGGGGCGAGCAGTGGCTCCCGCGCACCTAGCGGACCCAGCCCGGCGGTCCTCGGCGGGCCACCCCTCTCCATCCCTCGGCGGTCCCCGCCCTTACCTCTGGGCGCGAGGGTGCCGGCGGGAAGGGTGCTGGGGAGCGGCGAGCTGTCTCCTGGTCCGGCTCAGCGGCGGCCAGCGACAGCGGGGTCGTCGGCGGGGCCGCTGCTCATGGCGTGTGGCTCCCGGAGCACTGCGGCCGCGGCCACCGCGGCGCCTTCCTCCTCGTCCTCTTCGCGGGCTCCGAGCCGGGACGCAGCTACCGCCCCAGCCCCGCAGCCCTCCTCCTCTCCGCCTCCCCGGCCGCGGACGGAGCCGCCTCCAGCGCCGCCCCGCGCGCAGCGGGGCCAGCGGCAGCCAGCGCCGCCCAGCGCCCGGCCCCGGGGTCGCCGCCGCCGCCGCCCGCCCGCCCCGCGGTCCCAGCCCCGCTGTGACGCAGGCCGCCGTGCCCGGGAACTTCCTCCTCTGCGGAGACCACCCCGCGCCCGGACTGGCCGGCGAGGCTGCCGCTGGCCGCCGGAGGCTTTCCCCTGGATGTGGAAAACGAACCCTCCTGCGCTTCCCGGCGGGGCCGCCCGGGCCTCTGAGGCGGCCACCTGGCTGCCTCTGCCTGGGGAACGGGCTGCGCCTAATACCTCCCCCATCCCCAACAGGACGCGGAAAACCGAGCCTCCTCTGCGCTCTGCGGCCGCTCCACTGCCGCAGCTCCTCCCCCGGGTGTTAGAGGGGAGCAGCTACCACTAAAAATAGCCCTTCTGGCAACTCCCCTGCAGGACTGGGGTCAGGATGGAGATCATCCCTCCTCCTCATTTCCCGCTCCTCAGGAGAACAGAAGGACCCCAGAGGAACACAAAAATGAGTCGGGGCTGGGGTGGAGTGGTAAGGCATTGAGGGAGACGGAGGAGAATGGTTAAAACCAATCTCCCCGGACACCTCCGTCTCCTCTCCAGCAGGAAACCCCATGTTCCCGGACCCTGAGAGCTGGGCTCCCTCGTCTCTCAGCAACAGGTTCAGAGAAGCTGAAATTGAACGCTCCGCCTACAATTGTGAACTGTGCATAAAGGAGTTGACCGTCCTCATCAAAACCACCTGTTATTAAGAGTATGGGGGGAGGGGCTCTCCCTATTGATTGAGCTGAAGCATGATTTTCTTCTCCACAGTCTCCTACCCAATTTCAGGATGAAAAAGCAAACTATGTTCTTGAAAGCTGACAGCTATTCCTATGGAAAATCTTCTTCCCAGTGAAAAATGTGCAGACAACATTACTAGGTTATATAAAGTCTCCTGGGATGCCTTCTCAATGTTAGTTATTCCAAGAGTACTGAAAATGAACCTACTGCTCTGTCCTGGCAGTCAGGAAAAGGCTGATATTCCTAATCCTCTTTCACTAGTTGACTGGTGCTTACAAGCAAGCCTTAACAAAGCAGGCACCTCCTTTAACCCCATTTCTAGTTCCAAGTCAAAATGAAAAGACAATTTGTCTAGAGGTTGTTCTCTTAAGCTTTCAACTGTTTTTCTGGTGTTTCCCCCCCCCCCCCCGCCCCCGCTCGCTGGGCAAACTAGCACACTTTTTTCCAATCCAGTATGTTGTGGAAGTCAACCTTAAATCCTCTGACTCTAACTCCACCAGCCTTAACTTCCATAGATCCTCACAAAAATCTAGGGTGGAGCTTCCCTCCTAGATAGCAAGAGGAAAAATTCGTGGAGAGTTCCTGGGGAAAGGGAGAGGTTGGCTTCAGCAATGTGCTAAAATTGCAAGCACCTTGCAAGCTACCAGATACTATCTGAGGTAGCTCCCGCTCTTAAGCAACCCCCCTGCCCCCCCCCCCCCCGTGGATTTAAACGCTCTAATGAGGCAAATACTAAGGGCACAAACCTCCTGTCAGGGGCTTTGTTATGCAAGCGCTTTCTGAGCATCTCCATCCTTCTGTACCATCCCATCCTGACTTCAAGCCTACACATCCCTGAAATGCTTCCTCATTACCCAGTGGCAAGGAACTATTAGACTAGACTTTGGACTCAGGTGAATCAGGAATAAATCCCTACTCTTCCTGTGTAAATGTAAGGGAGTTACTGCTAATTTTATTTTTTTCCCCATCATCAGCAATATAAGGATAGTACTCTAGGATGCTGTGTGAATTAGATAACATGCTTAAAGCAGCAAGAACAATGCCAAACGCTTTGTAAGTACACAATAAATGGTAGCTGTTATGGACTTAATCTACTCTTCATAGACCTGAAAGCAAAAGGATGAGCAATGGCAACAAGGTTTGGAAATGGGATATGAACCCTGAAAACTGAGTCTCCTGCCTCCGTCTCATGTTTAATTGCAATACTTTTGTCTGGACATGACCTTTCTTTCTTTCTTCCTTCCTTCCTTCCTTTCTTTCTTTTTAAATAGGGTGTATTGGGTAGGGCTACACGTAGTCATGAGATTGACATGCACTGTAAAGTCTGAGAGGCACTAATCTGAAAACCACGGTTATACTGCTTAGATCATGTCTTCTTATTTTAGAGCATGTACACCCAAAGTCTAGTCACCTCACCTCAGTCAACCTAACTTAAACCAACATCCACACTTATCAAGCCCTTGGAAAACCATCCGGTAAATCCACAGCCGACTCCTATGAGTGCTGACCTCTGAGGGTCTCAAAGAAGCACCACAGAGGCCCTGATCTGTGGGAAAGAAGCACCAATACACCAGTGGATAGCTGAATCTGCAGATAGTCCCAAACCTTATAGATGCTGTTTTTTTGCCTGTACATACATACTTATAATAAAGTTTTATTTATAAATTAGACATAGTAAGAGTCAACAGTAATAAAATAATTATAACAATATACTTTAATAAAGTTATGTAAATATGGCCTTTCTCTCAAAATATCATATTGTATTGTACTCTCCCTTCTTCCTCTTGTGATGATGTGAGGCGATAAAATACCTACGTGACGAGATAAAGTAATGTGAAGGACATAAGTGTTATGATGTAATGTTAGCCTTCTGACAGTTTGTCAGAGGAAGGATCATCTCCTTCTGGACCACAGTTCACTGGGCATCTGAAACCATGGAAAAAAACCTCAGATAAGGGGGGTACTGCTGTATGAGGCTTATTCCCTGACTTCAGGGTATTCACAGAGCTTGAGAGACAGAATCTGGCAGCCCATGAGTCAGAGCAAACAGTTTCAAACTAAATGTGATTGCTTTTCAGAGTAAGGAGAGGGCACTATACCTCGGTGAACTATGTATATAGACCCACCATCTTCACCTTTCACTCACCCAATTCTTTAGATCAAAATTTGACATTCTCAATGGGTTTTCAAGAGTGAGTTCCCACATTGAGATACCACCCTACACCAGTTAGAATGGCCAACATTAGCAAGACAGGAAACAACGTGTGTTGGAGAGGATGTGGAGAAAGAGGAACCCCCTTACACTCTTGGTGGGAATGTAAGCTGGTGCAGCCACTTTGGAGAACAGTGTGGAGATTCCTTAAGAAATTGAAAATAGAGCTTCCCTATGACCCTGCAATTGTACTACTGGGTATTTATCCCAAAGATACAGATGTAGTGAAAAGAAGGGCCATCTGTACCCCAATGTTTATAGCAGCAAAGGCCACGGTCACCAAACTGTGGAAAGAACCAAGATGCCCTTCAATGGACGAATGGATAAGGAAGATGTGGTCCATATACACTATGGAGTATTATGCCTCCATCAGAAAGGATGAATACCCAACTTTTGTAGCAACATGGATGGGACTGGAAGAGATTATGCTGAGTGAAATAAGTCAAGCAGAGAGAGTCAATTATCATATGGTTTCACTTATTTGTGGAGCATAACAAATAACACGGAGGACATGGGGAGATGGAGAGGAGAAGGGAGTTGAGGGAAATTGGAGGGGGAGATGAACCATGAGAGACTATGGACTCTGAAAAACAACCTGAGGGTTTTGAAGGGGCAGGGGATGGGAGGTGGGGGGAGCCAGGTGGTGGGTATTATGGAGGGCACGCATTGCATGGAGCACTGGGTGTGGTGCAAAAACAATGAATTCTGTTATGCTGAAAAGAAATTAAAAAAAAAAAAGTGAGTTCCCACACCAAGATTCCACACAGCTACAAGTTCACTGTGCACTGGTTGGCAGTAGGGAGCTGAAGTGGATCTTTCTGGGTAGTGTGGGGGCATGGTAACAGATTTGGGGTAATACGGATCTGGGCTCAAGTCCTCAGTCCACTCTTACTAACTATGTGGCCCTGACCTTAATTTTTGAACCCCAGTTTCTCCATCTGTCTATTTGAACATCAGTACCTACTTTTTTTTAAGGTTCTGGTGAGACTTAGAAAGAGTACGGAAGTGGTAATTATATCGTTTTGCTGTTAGCTACAGTAAAATGCAGGCTGGGCTATATAACATTCCATGAAGGCATATTTCAAAAGTTGCTTTCTCTGTGAAGCTTCTATAGGTTCCAGGCGAGTGTAATTCTCCATTCTTTGTGTTCCCCTAGCACTTACCATGATGTGGTACTATTTATCTCTTTGCATTTTTGTTTCACTACGGTACTTTTTTTTTTTTTTTTCAATCTCTTTGTCAACACCTAGCACAGAGCTTGGAATTAAATGTTGAAAGAATGTGTTTTTTAAATTTTCAGAAATTTTTTACTGGTTCTGACTTTCAGTATACAGTAATTTGTATTAAACATCAGGCTCTAGAATGCGAAATCCTCTAGCTCATAGAATTTATACTGACATTATGTATTATGTATATGCATGTGCTTAAACCTTGCTTTTTCAGTGCTGGGCCTGTTCTTGAAGACCAACCTGCTATGCTTGTTTTGTTTTATGTTTGATGTCAGTTGATCCTGCCTAGTAATAGTGAAAGTAAAATCTAAATTCTAAACCAAAACCACCAGCAGGGTTTAACCCAGCATTCTCTACCCACCCTATGCACATCTGTTCCCCAGAGCGGTTCTGAGTTTTTGTGGGAAGGTCCTGAGCTAACAGAAAGCATTGTTGTTTTAAGTTTCAGCTCTTATAGCACTGTTGCAACAATTAACAGTTTCTGAATTAATGGTTGCCAGTTAAAATCCACCTTTAGCAACAGTTGTGAAATCCTTGACTCTGTGCCATTAAAAATGTGAAGACCGGGAGAATAAAACATCCCCTAGAAAATGTCGTGTGAGCAGGAAGTTGCCCAAGAGGTAATGTGGTCAAATGTGGTCTTGACCCTAAAATGGCAGTTGAATGTGTGCCAGAGGAGAGGCTGTTGGTGCTGAGGATTTAAAAATAAA